TTCATATGCAAAACATTTGATAAACCAGTATCTTTACACTAGTGCACTCATAGGTACTCAATTCAATGTAAAGATTTTAATTGCAAAATATTCTTAATATTTATCAAATTTCACTTTTTCTCTTTACATTGCAACCAATTCAGTTTTGTTTCGAAAACAGACTCTTTAAAATCTTGAGTAACAAAACTGGAATGACAGATTTACTAGAAGATAAGAGAGCTCAGGATGAGAATACATACTTCTCCAATGAAAAAAAGCAAGTAATTTTAAAGAACACTTAGAATCAAAGTTAGCTATGAGCCTTTTAAGTTCATCAGCAAATAGAMCTGTTTTCAGAGGTTTGTTTTTTGACATTTATTGTCCTGACCCATATGCCTAAGTAAAAAAATTTCCTTTCTGCAAAGCTCAGACTGTCTGRTAAAGTAAGTCTCAAGGTGGATTTACACAAGACTCTGTTCAGTTTAGCATTCATTCTGAAGCTCTGTAAGGTCATTTCATGATCTGCTTGGATTGCTCTGTGTATGACAGCAGAAATGCAGAGATTAGGGGGATTCACAAGTTCAGCCAGAACTGCCCAAGAGCCCTTTAATGAATTGCCACCAGATCACCACAGGTAAATCTTTATTCAGCACAGCCCATCTCAGCCTGGATGAGGGATCACTCTTGACTGCAGCTCCTGACCGAGGTGATACAGCCTAGAAATTGCCTTACTGACCTTGTGCAATTTGAGTCTGGGGCTCATAACTCCTGCAGGCATGAAAGATCTTTTCTCAACAGTCCACTGTCATTTCATCACAATGACATTTGCCAAAGGGTAATAGAAGACTCTTATTTCACTGGCAAAGAGGGGTTTGCAAGTGTCTACTGCAGTTCTGTAAACATGACAAGCATCCTCTTCTTTAACTTTGCCCTCTAGAATCACCCTGATCTACCTACGATACATCTAAATGATGAAATAAGACAGAACGTGACTTGTAAAAGTTTTGGGCCAAGGGTGACTATTCGTAATTAGCTCTTTCAAAAAGAAAAGTGATCTTTTTGATCACTTTTCCTGGGAGGATGCTGATCTCTCCCATACAGGCTGGATAGTCCCAGACTAGTGGAAGGAAGAAAAGATTTTACCTCAGTAGTACCTCTGGGCCTGCCCCATCACGAGGAATRCTTACATTTGTTCTGCAAACAAAAATGAGCTGGCAAGATAGATTTGGGGTTTCCTTTATTTKATTTTGACAGTAGTAGAACATAATAATGAGAAAACAAAACTTGTCTCAATAAGTGAGCCACTGTCTCTTGGAGAGAGGAGGGTTGCTGAAGGGACTCCGTAACAAAATTCAAATTATGTGTTCACTGTTTTTCTCAGCAGAAGGAAACAGCTGTGACATCCGCCTCTCTCTTAAGAAGGTTTTTCCCACAGAAAAAAAAAAAAAGCAGAATCCTGATGGTAAGGCTTTTACTACAGATTTATAAGTGAAGATGTGGCTATTCTTGAAAATTACACCAGTAGAAACATATTTCCTTTGTTGGGTAATGTTGAGCTGAGTAGTCTTACAGAACCTCCATCTCTTTGAATGTCTTGGTCCATATAAACCTGAATTGAGACTTCACTGTGGTGCAAAACTACAAAACCTGGTTGGACAAAATTCTACCCTGCTAGATACAGAAAGTTGTCCTTGCTATGAGAARGAAAGAGGGTGTTGCTGATTTAGGTGAAGAGCACGTATGAGTGATATACAAAGACGTCAGTCTCCTGGAAATAAGGGATGTATTATTTTACTTACAGAAAATTTTCCTGAAGAGTGTCATTGCTCCAATTTATCCCAGACATGGAACCACTGTGACAACCACTTTTCTCATTATTTTCCTACTGAGAGCCTTGCTCAAAATATCTTGGAGCTGTAGTAGACTGCAAACAATGTCCCAGCATCACGTTTGGCTTGGTCAAGATGCTTTAGTCTTCTAATTAAGCTGTACCTTCTCCCATGGAAATGATACAACAAAGCAACCTTAAATCTCCCAGGGGCAAGCTACCAACAGCCTGGGACATCTGACTTAKCAGGGACATAATCCAGAGAAGAACTGCAGCTGGCCAAAGCTCAGTCTGGTCGTCACTAAGGGAAGGTTGTTGGGTCGCACTTAGAAAAGATGGGAAAGATGACATCAGTCACTGGGATCAGGGAATGTGTCTACTTTTTCTTCTTGTTTTTTTAGCTGAAGTACAGCTCAGACCTACCATTGCCACACCAAAATGAGTCTTTAGTCACTAAAGACTAAAGACTCTGCCTTCCAGCCACTCAGACTGAAACAAACCGACAGAGAATGCAGACCCACTGTAMAATGGCAATATATTGAAGGGATTCCTACAGCAGCATGGTTGGAGTCCTCTCTGACACAAAACAGCCCTGCTCCTCTCACAAGTACTGTAAATCCATCCTGGTGCCTGAACACACACACAATGCCTTTCTGCTAATTTCTAAATTAGCCATCACATGAGGAAACTGCTAAAGAAGGAGAATGATAAAGGTTCAAGATTGCATTGCTGTATTTCTAAAAATAATACTATGCTACTACCCTGGGGCACAGAAAGCATTCACATCACAGTGAAAGAARGAACTAAACATTACCAAGCCCATGGGCAACCATATCAGGCATATGACACGCAGGGGGCAATATCCCTGTTTGATTTCCTCTCATCACTGACCAAACCAGCAACCTCAGAGAGTGCCACAAGTTGGAGTAAGTTGACACTATTACTCTGCACCATGAGATAGTGACAATTGGAAGACAAGAGAAGAGAAAATGTGCTTTGAGCAGCTTCATCACTGTGCAAAGCCTGCTGATGATTTCACAAATTGCCAGATGGGCATCAAGGCCACATCAAGCAGATTCAGCTTAGCAAATGACATGTGGGCTGCCAACACKGAGACAAGCAAGAACACAGACATCAGTTTTGCCTGTCTTCAGATTCATCAGTTCAATGCCACTGCTTTCTCAACGAGATTAACTTCCAGGTGAACCATCAATTTAATAAATCGAATCCAGTTAGTTCTAGKATTGCTTCAACAAGTTGGCAGAAGYAAACAGAACTAAACTAGGGCAACGCCTTGTTTTAAAAGGAGTTCTTTTAAATTATTYGTCACTGAAAAAATTACACAGATCTCGAACAATACTCAGTGAATTTCAGGCTCAGGAAAATAGTCCTACTGTGGTGATCTGAAACAAGCACTTGTTCACGTTTCCCCAGCTTCTCTCCTGTAACGTTTACTTTGACTATCTTCTGACGTCTCAGTTATTTTACTGTAGTGTCCAATAATAATGCAAAGGTAATTAATTACAGTGGACTTGCTAATCAACCAAAGTCATAATCCAGTCACACAGAATGGTACTGATGCACCTCTATCTGAAGCTGCAGCTTTACCTTCTCTTACACTACAAAATTCTGCTAATGCCCATCAGCCTTCTTTGTCTTCCCAGTCCTGGGTTTATTCAGCTGCMAAGTGATGGTTGCTTTCCAACAGAACAAAATCCTGGCCCCTGGCTACCTGCAAACCTTACCCAGTTTCTTGAGATTTATTATTCATGTAACAAGTACAGTACTATACAAATATAAACTATTTTCTGTGTGGCTTTAACACAGCAGTGCTAGCAAAAAAAACCCAAAACAAAATAAAAAAAAAAAAAACAAAACAAAAAAAACCAAAAAAAACCAAAAAAACCAAACCATAGCACATAAACATTTTTTTTTTTTAAAGACAGGACATAAAGTACATTCTCTGATTGTGGGATAAAAGAGCTTCTTAAAACTGTCTGCACTTCTGCATTTGTGAACAAACTAAAAACTTCATCTTCCTACAGGGCCACTATAAGATCCACAGACTTACTTTCTTAAAAATACGTTTTTTTTAAACAACCACATTCCATAGAACAACGTTTTGTCTGTATATTAGCATTTTATCTTGCATAAATGTATGTTTCAGCAGTTATGAAAATGAGACAGCTGACARTTGACTACTATATGTGAACAGATGCTGTGAAAGCTTCCCTTTAAATAGTTCTRTCAATGCAATGTCAATTTTAGAAGCAGCACCACTGCTGTTCTAGGACATGATCCTGCAAACCCTTGTTCACACAGGGAGTCCTGATGATTTCCATASAACATTTACATTTATAAGGCTCTGAAAGGTCATGTGCTTAGCTGCAGAGCTCTCCTTAATAGCGACTGACAAATATACAACAAAGTTTGTAGTAGTGCCGAGCTCTGTTCTTTCGGGCAATGGCATTTGCAGCCAGCAGTATTCACCTGGGCAGTACATGTATTTTCTTTTAGAAGTTACACGAAGCATATGAAATAATCTTAAAGAAACCATTAAAAGAGCTAACGCGTAGAGACAAAAAAACATCATGTGAAACCAAGCTTGCGGCATTAGGCAGAACTTTGAAAAATTAATCTGCCGAGCAGACAGGCTGAGGTTGAACACAGCACGGCGCCGATCAGGAGAGAACTGTTCAATTGTGCCACGATAAACCCAACACGATCCAGCAGCCGCCCCTTTGTTAGCGGCATCCTCATTAGCGGGTGTCTCGCAGGAGGAAGGTCCCAGGTGTTTTAGGGGAGCGGGCGGTGCTGAAGGACAGCGCAGCGCTCCCCAAAGCGCCCCTCGCCCCTCTCTCGCCATCCCAGCCGGGCGAGTTTGCAGGGGGCAGAGGACGGGGGTAAGCACGGCCCCGCTCGCTCGGGCTGCCGGCACTTTCAGGGACAAGGAGCGCATCCCGCCCCGGGGCACGGCGGACAGGGCTGCTCCCGCCGCTCCCCCAGAGCCAGCCGCGAACCCGGCAGGAGCACAAAGCGGGGACAGCCGGGGCCGAACCCCGCCCGGTGGCCCGCGGGCGAGGCGGAGCAGGCACGGGCAGCGGGCCGTGAGCGGGCGCGGCGGTGCCGCCGGGCGGGCACACAAAGGCGCCGCGGGAGGGGGCCCGCAGCTCTCCCCTTCCCCGGCACTTACCTTCAGCAACACAAAGAGCCAGAGCAGACAGGAGCGGGCCCCCGGGGCCCCCCGCCGGCGGCGCTCGGGCATCGGGGAGGASGGCGGCCGCGGCCCGCGGGGGCGGCCGGGCAGGGGGGGCTGCTGCTCCTCTGCCCCCGGGACCCCCGGCGCTGCCCCCCGCCCGCCTCCGCTCGGCTCCGAGCCGTGCCCGGCAATGGCGAATTGCGGCAGCATCAGGCGGCCGGCGGCGGCGCCGACCTCCCCTCCGAGCGGCGCATCCTGCCGCCCCCCGCCCCTTTTATTTGGGGTTTGCGGCGGGGAGGGGAGGAGGAGGAGGTGGAGAAGGAAGAGGAGGCGACGGCGGGTGGTGTCTCCCCTCCCAGGAGTTTGGGCGATCGCGCCGCTCGCCGGCTCCTGCTTAGGGGCGGCACCGGCCCCCGGCGGAAGGCGAGGGATGGGAGATTGGAGATGGGAGCCGCCGCCCTCGCCCCCCGCACCGCCCTGCCCTCGGCCCCCCTCTCCCCTCAGCATCTTCTCCCCGCGGGTAGGAGCACAAGGCGGCGGGCAGAAAGGCATCCTCGCCGCCGCTGCCCATCACCCTCCCCGGTGTGTTTTTCCTGCCCCGCCGCGATCAGGGGACAGAAATACCGCGGGCATCGGGGGCCCGGCCGGTGGGGCAGGGGAAGAGCCCGGCCAGACCCTGCCCGGGGAGGCGGCTCTGCTGGAGCCGGTGCCCAGTGCSGKYAGCAGACAYAAGGCAGAATTCCCTACGGCTCCTRTCAGGAGTCAGCGGGTGGACAGCTCTTCAAATATTCAGGTTCAGAGCTGAACCTGCAAGTGATGGAGAAGTASTCATCTTGTCCCACGAGATACTCGGGCCCAGTGATGCGAGGGGTACTCTGAGAAAACTGAGGTCACCTCGCCTGTTGTGTTTTGCCTCTCACATCTCATCCTGCAATCCTGCAGGTTAATCAGAGTCTTCTCCAAACACAAGCTGTTCACCTTAGCAAGCAAGAGTCGAGCTGAAGATAATGTCCCCAGAAAAAAACAAACAAAAAACCRAACACCTTGAGGAGMCAGAACAAAACCCCAAAGTAYTTAAGAACCTTCCCCATTGGACTACCATGATGAAAACAGTCTTTCCAAGATGAGAAGACTATATCATAATCTGGTTTGTCACAGACCATACTCTCACTCACACCTGTATAAATTAGATGCATTTTTGATACCACCACCAGATCTATAACAAAGATCAGTTCAAACAAAATAGGGTTGCAAGTGTAATGAAAAGGCCAGATCTGGAGTGTTAAACTTCATGGCAACTTTGGATCTAGGTGCAGGATCTAGAATCACCATTTCACTTTTCCTTAAAAAAAATAARCTAGTGGCTAGAAGTAGATTCTGGGATAGCTTTCAGATTTTCYAAGTCATTTAGGCAAGATACACTCTATCACAGTCTTGTGGGAATGTCCTTTATACCAAACAATTACAAAGTTATTTTCTAGCAGCACTGCTAAATTGGACAATAATGAATCTGTGTTTCAGAGCCCGCCCAGCTTATGCATGGTATATTTTTAATTTCCTTATGATTTGGACATTCAGTCAACAAAAGTTTGATTTCGAAGTGGCCAAAGCCAGAGACAGATGTGCTTATTTTGTACTGAAATGGGTCCTTGAGCCAAGATTTGCCACACTTTATGGGTATTAATACAGAAAGGGAAGAAGAAATTCAGGTCTTGTGTAGATACTGGCACAAGGCCTAAATTGAGAACTCCAAAGGACAAATGCTATTCATTTGTTCATTTATAAGAAGCTGGGGACATCAGAGACTTGTTCAATGCTACCAGTGAAGGACACAGACTTCTCTTGGGTACCCATTACTCTGATAGTGTTTGGAGCTTTATCTGAATTGCTGTGCAAGGGGTTAACATAGCTAAATTTCCTTCAGTACTCAGGTTTAGGATGAAGAGTTAGGTTATCTGAAAGACAAGTATGTCTTTTCTTTAGGAAATTAAAATTTTTGCCAGTATTTGAGAGCTGTGGATCAAATTTTAGGCTGGGAACCTCTTGTTYGTTAAGTAAATTGAACTGAAACAGTCAATGATTTTTGACCTTAGGACTGTATTTTATGCTTCTTTCTTCTCCAATATTCCACTAATTTACAAATATTTAGACATTAAAATGATGATGGCATAAGTAAGGRTAAAGATTAAAGATATTTTAAAAGAAAAAAAAAAAGAAGTAGCAAATTCTAGTAGCATTTTAGCCTCAGGACAACACTATTGGAATCAAAGAGTTAGAGTGACAATAGCTGAAAGAAGTGAGAAATGTTTCTGGAATAAAAACTTCAATAAAGTACCAAGATAATAAAGCATTCTGATTTGATTGTTGAAGCAAAGGAAAATGCAGCAAGAGAATTCAAGGGTTGCATCCTCTGTAAGTTATGGGGGTCTAGCAGTATTTGACTTTTTCAAAAAGGACCAGTGTTTTGCAAGATTTCAATTTGTAAATAGAACCTAATCCTTCAGAAACTACTGATTAAGTCTTTTTATTATTAAAAAACATTTTTAGAGGTGTTTTCTAGCAGCTGTTCAGAAGTGTGTTAGACACAGGCATTAGAATAGYTCCTCCCAAGGAAAGCCCACACCTATGTAGGGAAAGAAGTCACAATGGCTAAGAAGCAAAGATTGGCTCCAGGCTTTTTCAATGGATGAAACCTGGACAGTCCCACAAAGCATTTCTTAAAAACACCAGAAGATAGGACATGAAGGATGAGCAAAAGAAATTTTTCTTTAGTGAATAGTGAAAAATACAAAGAAAAAAGTATCTATGAAAACAAAGGCAATCTTATTTGTTTCTAGAATCTAAACAATAAAAACAGTGAGTCTATTAATAAACCAGCAAAGCTGTAAAAGTAGAKACAATGAGGTATCTTTTATGTACTCATGGAAAAAGAAACAGGGTAGTTTGTGTTTGCAAGTGTTCARTTAGAGAAAAATTCTGAAGCAAGGGTGTTTCAGAAGCTCCAGAAGTCCTTCAAGCCCCGATCCACTGGTCAAAGGTACACCCTCAGTCAAAAGGCTTCCTTAGAGCTCTGTCACCCTTCACATGAACCCAGGAGGAAAGGAAGGAAGAATCCAGCAGAATACCTCACAAAGGGGAATTTMATTTATTTGCATGAAAAACATGCAAGCATTTGATAAAAATTTAAAAAATAAAAATCGGCCAAGAAGTGCTCAATGTGAAACACATTTTGGAGTCAAACATGGCTTTTTTTCTGAATCAGATACTGTGATTTCAGGGATTTAAACTAATTTTTTTCCCTCTCTTCTTTACATTCCTGGAAAAACCCTTCTTGGCACAGTAGAAGCTGAAACATATTCCCAGTTACCAGGACAGCCCTATAACAAGGASTAAGTGAAAGCCTGACCTTTGCATTTGTGGCACTCCTGCAATGCAGAGCAGCTCACTGAACACAGAGTCCTTCACCAGCAAGCTCCCTTCACTCACACAAAACTGACACTTGTGGCTCTCACTTGTGCCATCTCTTCCCAGAATCCCAAATTCCCAAATGACCCAAAGGTCATTTATAGCATTACAGAATATCCTGAGTTGGAAGGGACCCCCAGGGATCATTGAAGCCCAGCTCCTCCATTTCAGCATGGATACACGACATGACCACATTGCATCACAAACATCTCCCATTTCTCCTTCGGGATCTGTTCTAAGCGTACACTTGGAAGGCATCCTTATTTTTTTTCTTGGTCTGTGACAAACTCTGGGCTGCAGTGGGTGCCTATCAGAGCAGGCTTAAGGGAATTTGGTTCTCTCTGAATGCACCTGGCAGAATCACAGYGAAGCAGAGAATTTAGAGCAGAGGGGCCTGACAGAGTGGTGCATCACACGGTATTGTGATACAGGATCCTGTCTCTACTCCGTAAATTTATTATAAAAGCTGGGCAGGAATTATTTTCTGATGTGCAGTATACAGAAACAGGATAAAGTATTTCAAGGCATCACAGGACACAATCCTAGAAGACAAAAAATGCTTGAAGAAAATCCTCTTGCATTTTTAGAGCACCACCTACAAACAGGACTCCACATCAAACACACTCAGGAACTTCTCAGGTTGCTCATCAGCCCTGTGAAGCTTGTGTTAGTTACAATTCTTGAGAATTAACTTTATTGAATGACCTGAAGAATTAAAACACTGGTGGTTGCTTGGTATCAGCAATTTAATGAATTCAACCTCTTAGCCAAACCAGTATTAATTACCATATACACCCATAGATTATCAGAGAAAAATAGAAATCAAGATGTTTTGGGGTTTCAACTATTTGTAAAATCAAATTTGCTGGTAGCTTACATGGACTTGAGGTTTATGGTAAATTCTTCCCTCACCCCTGAAAACCCCAAAGCAACATTGTGTCAAATCTACCAGCTTTGCCTGGCCTAGAGAAAAACCTATAAATTAGCATTTATTCTGAGTTGCAGTATAAACCCAGATTTATATGAAGCTTTRCAGGCCTCAGCAAGTCTGGATAAACACAGCATGAAAGCAGGTTTATGAAAAGCCCCACTCTAAGCAGAAGTGATCCTGGTCCATGAAGTTTTTGAAGCAAAGCTATTTTTCAGTGACAAATGTTCTTATGAAAATAAAGTGTGGATCCTTCCTAAATGTATTCTCACCTAAAGCCCTTTCATTTCAATGACAGCAATGGATCAAACAATAACAAAAACAAGTGCAAAGGGTGGCTAGAATAATATACACTGGGTGGCACTGATGGGTTCAACTGCAAATTTATTTTAGACTTCAGTTTGATAAGTACAGGCCCTGTGACTTCTAAAAGTGTGTCCCATGGTCCCCCTAACAAACAAGTTGTCAGGTTTTTAAAAAATGTGTCTTTTCATAACAGGAATGATTGACACACTTCAGATGTGCAACCTGATCAACTTCCAGACACTTATTAGGTTTTCAGTTCAAGACAAGAAGTGAACTCTTCTGCAAAAGGTCATTTCCCTTTTTAATGTAGTCAGAAATCTGTCTTTGACATTGAATCTTTTCCTCATAAATAAGCATGTGAAAGATTTTTGTCTGATATTTCTTTCCTTTAGCACATTGCAGTGTTCACTGCAATAGGGTGTGGAGAGAAACTGAGTTGGTTTTTGTCATTTTTTTTTCAGAAGAGAAGCAGTAAACATACTCATCAGGCCGATGAGATTATTTAACATTT